GGGAAAATATTTCGACTCCATCTTCGTGGAAGCAGAACTTCCTAGGTGATTTGAGAACCCCTTTCAGTTCACTCCTACTGGTTCGCTTGGATCATTCAGCTCAGAATGGATGGGAGTCCAGGCTCACATGGTGCATGCTGCCTGTGTGGAGGGACTGGCTCGTCTGCATGCTGAGTCAGTGACAGATTGTTTTAAAAAGTCTGTCGGGCTGTGATCCGAAAGGTCAGCAGTTTAAAAGCACCAGCCATTCCTCAGGAGAAAGATGGGGCTTTCTACTCCTGTAAACAGTTAGACCACCGGTTCTCAACCTTCCTAATGCCGCACCCCTGTAATCCAGTTCCTCATGTTGTGGTGACCCCCCCAACCATAAAATTATTTTTGGTGCTACTTCATCACTGTAATTTTGCAGCTGTTATGAATTGGGCGACCCCTGTGAAAGGGTCGTTCGACCCCTTTAGGGGTCACGACCCACAGGTTCAGAACCGCTTAGTTAGACTCTTGGAAAGTCCCGGGGATCGTTCTCCCCTGCCCTATAGGGTCTCTGTGAGTTGGCATCAACTTGATGGCAGCGAGTTTGGTTTAGTTGGCTTGTACTGCTCTTAAACCCATAGGTCTTCCATATGTGTCCAGAGCTGCGCAGTGAAAGACGTGGCCTTGTTGCTCAAGTCTTTCCTATCGCATTCGGGAGACACACGTGGTCTCCTTCTGAGGACCTGGAATATAGTAGACTCTCAATACCTGCGCTCTGAATGAATGAATGCTGTTGCACAGATGTTTACTAACCGGCCCTGAAGAACAGTTGATAAGTTGGATTGTGTGCTGCAGGCTAGAAGTGCAGTGGCAAGGCAGAAGAGAGGCCAGTGGGGTCAGCTGGGTAAGGAGGGTTTTGTGAGGAAGCAGATGCTGAGTTGTCTTCTAGGTGAGGTAGGAGCTGGAGATCCTTTGTAAAGGAACAAGTGGCAGGACTTTTTAATAGGCTGCCTATTGGAGGTGGAGTGGAGGTGGTGATTGGATGGTGCGAGAAAGACCATGAATGCAAATGTGGACCTGAATAACTTGAGCCATTAGCTAAACACCCCCAAACAACTACTCAGAAATCTCTGGAGCAGAGGGGAAGATTACATCAGAAATATCCATCTTTGAGCCTGAGAGCTTCCCAGAAGACATAAGACCTAACCCCAAGCTTGGAGTCAACAAACTATGTAATTGAAGGCCATGTCCAGCCCCTTCCCGGAGCTTTTGGCCTCCTGGTCTAGAAAACAGGGTGCATTTTTAGTTTTGAAAGAGATAGCATTTGAGGCGGAACCAGTACACTATCTGGTATTTGGAAGGCGTCCTATACTTGTTGGTATATTGTTCCTTCCAGCTTTAAAGTTTTAAAATTCTGTGATGTCCTAGAAAGGCCAACACCCTCTCCCGTATTTGCCTTCCCCAGTTGGGTTTTCACTTACTCCCCCCACCCCCTTCCTCCAGGAGAGCCCACCAATTTATACTGTGTGAAGCTAAGAATTCAGGGGAGGGACGGTTGTACATGTTGTGTCTGAATCTTTTCTGGTTTCCCAAGTTTTCCCCGCTCTTTTGAGCATTTGCAGTTTCCACGCTTGAATCACAAAAGTCTCCATTTTGGCTGACTCCAGCCCTCCACTCTGGGGAGTCAGCACGGGCAGGTAGCCATAAGTATGCAGGAAAGGAGGGTTTTGTAGTATCTTAAAGCCATTGGATTTTATTTATTTCCAGTTTGCTCAACATTTGTTCCACAGATCTGGACAGTTTAAGAAGGCGTGGGGATCAGAGTGGGGAAAGATGCAAAGTAACTTGGCTTAGAGAAATGGAGTCACACCTTTGCCCATCGGTATCAAACTGGGACTCAGAGCTGGCAACCCCCCACAGATTTCTAGGCTTCACCTTGTCTCTCTGAAAACTAAGCCCTGTTGTGATGATCCACGTGGCCTCTGAAGTACTGGCTGTGGTTGCAGGAAGCGCTCCGCATCCCGCTGCTAGGGTTGGATGAATGCAATTCCTCCATTTTCCGTGTTGTTGCTGCTGCAGTTACTGGGTGCCACTGAGTCAATTCTGACTCATAGAGACCCTGCATGACAGAGTAGCATTGCCACGTGGAGACCCCTGCCAGAGCTGAGATGCTTACAATGCCACTGGATCCACAAGACTTCCCAACCAATGGCCTGTGATCTTCCTGCATCATTGCATGTGTTTCGTGAGTCTGAAGAGGCCTTTATAGATTGATATTGGACATATGGGCTAATATTGGACTTATAGACTTGATCTGGACTGGGCTGGGATGTTTTCTCTATATTCAATTACTCTTGTATATAAAGCTCTTTCCTATACACATGAGTGTCTATGAATTTGTTTCTCTAGTCTACCCAGACTAGCACAGTCCCCCTTCAGGTCTAGAGATGAACTCAATCCCATGGCTCAGTTTTCGTGCAAATATGGACACGTCTATAAGGTGAACAATGACACTAGGGAGGTACATGCTCTTTAGAACAATCAACCATTCAAGATTGAAAGGGCAGCGATTTTCCAAGGACCAAGTACAGAAGTCAGGAGGCTTAGGAAAGATGGAGGAATGGGAACAGGAAACACAGGGTAGGAGTGGCATAAGTGGGGATTGCAATTAGGGACATGAAACAAACTGTGTATGAAGTGTCAGTGTGCAATATGGATTTGTTTTGTAACTTTTTACCCAATTCACAGTAACGAAGTCTAGAAAAACATTCAGATTCTAAAGTAGTGCAAGAACACTGTAGAGGACTTAGACATGACTACGAATAAGAGACGGGGTTGCTTTGAGTTGGCATCGACTGGATGGCAGTGAGCTTGGTGGTTTTGGGGTTGGGGGAAAGAATAAGAAAATGAAAATCATCTGTAATCCCATAATCTATTAAATAAAAATAATTCTATATTATACTAGAATAGTAATAATTCTGCAGTAACATAAATGTTTCTACTTATTTCCTCTAGTCGTCTTTTTTTCTAGGCACACAAGCACATTGAAGATCCTACTATATCCTCATATGTATAACCACATAGCATTGTAGTCTATAAATTTGGCTGCTAACAGCAAAATCAGCAGTTTAAAGCCACCAGATGATCCCTGGGAGAAAGGTGAGGCTTTCTATTCAGAAACCCACAGAGGTAGTTCTACCCTGCTATTTAGAGTTGCTATGAGTTGGAATCCACTTAATGGCAGTGAGTCAGGTTTTGGCCATAGCATTTCATAGTATCACTGTAACTGCAAAGACTTCAATGTGTCTCTACTGTGTCTCTATTTCCCATGACACTATGTTGAAGTTCCCAGTATTTCTATTTTTGTTGCATCTTGATTATTTTCTCCGGCCAAATCCCTAGAAAGAGAATGACTGGGTGGAAGGACAAGAATATTGTTCAAACTTTGGCCCAATTGCCTTGCAGTAGCAGTTGCACCAATTTGCATTTCTATTAGCAGGGCTGGCGCAAGTAGCTGAGCCACTGCTTCCATAGGGAGCAGTCCAGCATCCCGCATACATGACACCCACCTTTTCTCCGTTTCCTTTCGTTCTTCCTCCCTTTTTCTTGTGACAGACGTGAAAGTGTTCAGAACAGATTGGGTTTCCAATCAAGCATTCCTACACATTTGGGTTGGTGTCACTGATTGCAGTCCCCACAATGGACCAGCCTTCTTCCCACTCACTTCCTCTGGGGCTTCCCTATTCCCATTGCATTCTTTTTCTCAACCCTGTCTGTGTGGTCAAGTGTTCTAAGGAGTGTATACCCTGCTAGTGTTCCTGTTCACTCTAGAGCAGTGGTTCTCAACCTGTGGGTCACGACCCCGTTGGGAGTCGAACAACCCTTTCACAGGGGTCACCCGATTCATCACAGTAGCAAAATGACAGTGATGAAGTAGCAATGAAAATAATGTGATGGTTGCGGGTCACCATCACATGAGGAACTGTATGGAAGGGTTGCGGCCTGAGGAAGGTGGAGAACCACTGCTCTGTAGGGTTATCTGTTGCTTGGCTGAAATGTGAGCTACGGGGAGTGAGTTCACTGCCAGGTTTTTCTAGAGTGTTTCCATCCCATTTACGGAGCACCTACTACGTGTGGGATATTGCCCCAGGCATTTGAGCAGTGTTTCCCAAACACGGGAACAATCCAAGGGGACTGCAAAAGCAGATGCCTACACTTTATCCAGGAGCACGGGTGGCAAAGTGGGTTGTGTGTTAGGCTGCAAACTGCCAGGTCAGCAGTTAGAAACCACCAGCTGCTCCATGAAGGAAACTCATGAGCCAGTCTCCCCCCATAAAGAGTTACAGTTTCAAAACCCACAGGAGCAGTTCTCCTCTGTCTTAATAGGCTCACCATGAGTTGGAGTCAACTCAGTGGCAGTGCACTGCTTGATGGACTATAGTATAAACGTTTTAGATTGCGGACAGTGGTATGTGTGTGTAGAATGTTTTTTCCCCCTGAAAAAGTGTCTGTAGGCCAAATGAGTTTAGGAGCGTATGCTCATTAGACTCAGTCTGTTGTGCAGTGTAATGCTAGTAGATGTATGAGGATGGTTAAAATGCAAGTGAAATGTAACGTAGCCCACATATCTCTATGGCCAGGAGCTGACATTCCTCATAAATGGCTGCTCTTTGAGGAGAAACATCGTGCTAGTGAATTTGAAAAATAGTTTAGACCTTGTCTGCAGTAAGCACAAACAGGAAGTGAGTTCATACGAGAGAGGCTCAGTTATGACCACTGACACTGTATTTCCTGGTTTACATCAGGCTGGGAATGGTGAGGAACCCAACCGAGTCACCTCATTTAAAAAAGAAGCAAAAGCAAGAACCGTCCCCCGTGTCCCCCCACCCCCCCATCCAAAAAAAAACCCCAAGGACAACACACACAATTGATGTGGGTAAAGGGCCATCTCTGCTTTTGTCAGTTCGCTTGAGAAAGTGAACCTGTTGGTTTATCAGGGAAGGGGGCCACAGAACACACAGAAAGCTAACCTCCTTCTGGCAGCTGGAGATAATTTGTCAGTCTCTCTTGAAACGTGGCTTTGTGCTCACTGGGGAAGGCAGCTGGAACAGAAAAAGCATGACAGACAAAAGCTGAAATCCACATGAAGAAAGGTCTTTTCCCCCAAATGACTGCCTGAGTTAGCAACGGGCAGAACAGAAAGTCCATGTACGTCTTCCCAGCCACCAGCACGTCTGGTCCTCGAGGGGTCCCCTATGCTACAAGGGGTATGGAGAATAGCTGGAGCCCTGAAGAGGTTCCTGGACAGCATATGAACAAGCCCTCCCACCCTCCCGAAAACCCCCACCCTCAAATTAAATCCATTTCTGAGACGACAGAAAAGAAAAAATAAGGAAGGCATCATGACTTGGAATTCGGTCCAAAGTATTTGCTATTCTGAAAGAGGAGACCTACTTAATACATGGTAGTTAATGGGGCAAGAAATGGAGGCTTAAGTATATGGTTTCAAGTTAAACAGTGACCCGCGGAATAACTAAAAATAATACCATCGGGCTGGAAACAACCCCAACGGGCCACAACTGGTGAATCGATAAACTGCTCAGCTCTTGCAATAGGCTTTCACTCAGCAAGCCCAAAGAATAGACTACTGATGCATGGAGCTCAAAGCAGGCATGCTGAGTGAAAAATGGGCGGCAGAGGTTACCTTATGGACTGTTTCTCTTTCCAGAATATTCTGGAAAAGAGAGAACATTTTCTTAAAAGACCCTAACTCAGTGGCTGGCAGAGGTCAGAAGTAGGAGGAAGGACTGATGACAAAGGGTAGCGGGAGGGACCTTTTGCAGCTGAGGGCACTGTTTTTATAGCTTGACTGTGGTGGTTACCCAACTTCATGTATCTACTTGAGCCCACAGAACTGTATGCCCATGATAAGTGCATTTTCCAGGATGCTACTTAAAAAAGAAAAGTGAATTTTATTTTATTTTATTTTTTTTGAAAAGTGAATTTTAAAATCTCACAAAAGTAATACTGTAAAACATTGGTAGCTGGAAGAAAGAGAGGAGGATGGGAGTAATGGGAAGTGAGAAAAATATTTCTTTTTATAGCAGGGAGTCCTAGATCGAGTCCAGAATGGATAAATCAAGAAATAGGAGTAGGGGCATATTATTCAGAGATTACAGAGGTGACCACCAGATGAACGGAAACTAGAATCTGTTCAAAGAGATTGTTTCTGAGGAGCAGAACTGGGGTTGGGGAGCGGTGGGCCAAAGATCTGTTGATAAGTTCTTGGTATTTGCTATGTTAGAGCCATGCTCACATATGACTTTGATTTCAAAATCTATGTGATGGGGAAAGCACTGATCTCCAACTTGAACTCTGCACTAACTGAGCAAGCCCTTCCCCTCTGGGCCTTAGATGCTCCATCTTCATAAGATAAATGGTTTGAACTGGGTGACCAGTAAGACCTCTTTCAGACCTAAAAAGAATTATACATTAAATGATTTGCACACCAACAGTGGTTATTTGTTGAATGCAAAGCTAAGAAATGAGGCATTTTTTAAAGGTGGAAGGGACTAAATCATCAAATTAAGCTGCATCTTTTTAGCCACTGAAGAAATCAAAACCCAGGTTGGTTCAAAGACTCACGTCGAATGGCCCGTTTTCATGGGAGGAGCTAGCACCGGAGCTCAGGGTTCCCCAGTACCTGCCTTGTTGCTCTACATAGCTTCTCCAAAGTTTGGGGGACTTATTCTTCCTGGGTGACACCAGGCATATAATTAATCTGCTGACACAGTCTCGCTGGTCTGGAAGATGAGTCAAACTTTTGGAAGTGGTCCCTGACATAAGCATGTATGACATAGGCATCCCAGAATTGTTCAAGGCACTGCTAGCATCAGTTTGGGTGCTCCATTCTCTAATAACTGGCCAGAAAACTGCCTTCTGGTCCTTCTAGAAGCTGTTGTTGGCTGCCATCAAGTTGAGTACTGGTTCACAACGACCCATGTACAATGAGAAAACAGTGCCTGGCCCTACGCAGTCCTTATGATGAGCTGTGAATTGGACCATTGTGATCCAGAGGGCTTTCACTGACTCTTTTTCAGAAGTAGGCCACCAAAACGTTCTTTCTAATCTGTCCTAGTCTGGAAGTTCTGCTGGCGCCTATTTAGCATCATAGCAACATATGCATCCACCGTCAGATGAGTGATGGCTGCACATTTGTTTCACTGGTCAGGAATCAAGCCCACAGGCGCTGCTAGCCTACTGATTTCTCCTTTCCTGTGTTATGAGCTCCACCACTTAGAAATGCTGGCATTCTCATTCGGATTTAAGAGAATGGATTTCACCTATATATATATATTTTTTTCCATTTTTTAAAATATATTTTCCATTTTAATGGGAGTTCTAACAGATATTATAACAATCCATAGTTCAATTAGATCAAGCATGATTTCTGCTACCATCATTTTCAAGATATTTTCTTTCTTTTTGCACTCTTTGATAGCAGTTTCCCTTTATCCCCGCCAACCCCACCCTACTTTCCAGAAAACCTTGTTATTATATTAAATATTATTATTGTTATTCCTCTTTTTTTGCCATATCTTATACCATCCAATGTGTCCGTTCACTTACCATTCTGTTACATAGTCATCGGTGCTATCAGTTTCCCCTTCTCCCCACCCCTCTCTTTCTGTACCCTCCGGGAGTCATTCCTCCCATTACTATTTCCGAAGGGTTTGTCTATCTTGGATTTCATGTACAGAACAATCTTAATTATCCAAATGAACATATACAGGTCTAACAGGATTGATGAGGTAAAACTAAGATCATAATAGTAGGGGGAGGAAATATTAAAGAACTAGAGGGTAGTTATGTGTTTCATCCGTGCACCCTGGATAGATCCTTCCTTCCGTGTGGCCCTTCTGTCTCGTGGGTGGTATTTGGGTCTCCGCTTTGCCTATGCTCCTTCATGTCAATTTGTCAAGTATATTTGCTTACCAGTCTTTTTATTCCAAGCACATGCCATGTTCAACTGAAATCCACCTTGTATGAGAGAAGATATGCTCACATGGCCACTTTTATTAGAAGTCAACAAGTTAATCGCCTACTTGACATGGCTTAGAGATCCCCATAAGATCTCTGACTTTGCCCATAGTTGTTTTAGGGAAGCGCTTCCGTGTTGATCAGAAAGCAAGCGAAAAGCATGAGTGTTTTGCCCAGTATTCCCTCCCCCTTTGTCTGGGCCTGCAGGCTCCCTTGTCCCTTATCTTACAAGGTCTGAGTTTTCTAGAATAAGGACACCATTATGTAGGGCTATCACTCTTCCTCACTGGAAACAACACTGCCCTTTGTAAGCTTCTAACACACTTCAAAGGGTGTGGCTATCTTTCTGCACTCCAAGGGAGGCCTCCTTGGGAAACACTCCTCCAGGGGCCTTGTCCTAGAATCTTCTTCAGTTGATCGTGAATTGCAGGCAGCCTCCCTGTTGGTGCTTTGTTTACCTTAGGAGAAAGATTAGACTTTTTTAAAAGCCTCCTCAGAAAACACTTGCTTGCCAACTTCTGTATCTTCCCCACCCCCTGCCTTGTATCAAGTCTGGCTTTCTGCCCAGTGTCGAATCCTGCCTCACCTACTGCCTGCCATTTACTTCCCAACAGCTGGCCCAGAGATCCCAAGTACTTAGACTCAGCTGCCAGCTTAAGGCAGGAGAGGCCCCCGTAGTTGAGCTTATGACAAAGACAGCATTTGTTCCCCCACCGGTATTCTCAGTGTCAACAGCAGCGACAGGCTCCAAAGGGGATCAGGTCTAGTCACTGCCTACTTGGTGAGGACGCCACAAGGCCAGGGATGGTCCCATATCCAGTTCCCGCATTTGTTTTGCCTGCCCAGGCACAGCTGTGAGGTGCCTGCGAAGCAGGGTCTCAGTCTAGTGCAGTTGTGTTATCAAGTCGGATTCCACCTCAACAACCCTATGGGATAGAGTAGAATGTTATCTAGTCGACATAATTCCTAACTATCACAGTTCCTGAGGCTGAACTTTGCTCCCTCAGAGCCTCTGGTGTGTTCTAACCACCAACTGACCATATCATTAAAAAGAAGAATCCAGATGCCCGGACCTGCAAAAGGTTTGTTGCTGTGGTCTGCCAATTTGCTTCTGTGAGAAGTCCTATGACTTGGTTTGCTTATCACTGAGTGGCACTGGTTGGTTATTGTTGTTTGGTGCCGCTGAGTAGCTCTCAATATGTAGCAACCCTCTGCACAACAGAAGAAAACACTGCCCTGTCCTGCGCGTGCCAGCCTCACAGTTGTTACATTGTTGTAGCTACTGTGTCCATCCATCTGCATGAAGGTCTTCCTCTTTTTCGAAGGCACTCTGCTTTGCAAGCATATTGTCCTTCTCCAAGGTCACAGTGAAGGACAATGGAAAGATGGTCACTGGGAGGGTAGGGGTGGCTTAGAAGATCGCCGGGGCCTGGCAAAGAGAGCCTACGCCTAAGGCCATCTCTCCCAGGGAGCTGGTTGGCCTTCCTGTCTTCCTACCGCCAACAAAAAAATTGACTGTGCCCTGGCCCTTGAGGTATGCATAGTTGGAGGAGAGGGGAAGCATTCGTTTTTAGAACTTTGTTTGACAAAGTGCTGGAAGATGAGTCTCCTATGTTGGGAAAAAAAATAAAACTCACTGTCGCGGAGTCAATTCTGACTCATTGCGACCCTACGGGACAGGGTAGAACTGGCCCTGTGGGTTTCTGAGACTACAACTCTTTACGGGAGAACTGCTGGAAATGCGGTTAGCACTCAATGTGTAATCCACTACAGCACCAGCCTCCTCCATTGGAAGACCCTCAAGTACACAGTGGCTACAAGAATGGACTCAAGCACCCTGACCATGGAAAATACCCTGCAGACTGGCAACATCTTGTTCCACTATGCATGGGATTTATACTAGTACAATCGAGTTCCCCTCCCAGTACCCCTGTCAACATTGAGGGGCACCCTTGCTACCCTTGCTATGCTCTTTGCTCATCGCTAACATGTCTGCTGCTTCTTACCCACATACCGTATTTAGGCAGATAATGCACGCCCTGTAGTTTTACCAATGCACTCT